CTGATTGGTTTAGGCCCTGAGGTGCCTACATGCTGAGCTGCACTGGGTCCAAGTTATTAAACAACTAAGTGGTCAGGGAGGATTATCTAATGGGCAGTCCTGGGAATTGTCCTAACAGCTACAGGAATTTCAGGCTTTGAGTGTAGCTTCGAAACTCAACAATACCTGGTCCTTTACATTTTAACTTCAGTGTCTTTTATCCTTTCAGTTAGTACTTATCTATTTTATATAAGGGACTTGAGCATCGTGGATTTAGGGATCCTCTCAAAACAAAATGTGTTTTTGTATGATTTTTCATTCAATAATAGAAATCAAAGGAGAATAGACAAATGCACCATCATGAAGTGATCTTAACGAAACTCTTTCACTAGCGAAGACCAACAGGTAAAAGTTAGTTTAGAGAAGATTTGAACAACACTGTTATCTTTTGCTCTAAATGACAAGTTGCAGAACACCAGGTTCAATAACTATAAAAATCCACAGTCTCTTCTAGTGCACATTTCCCAAAATAGACAGAGTCAGCCTCGACCATTTCAAGTGACTGAGAGTACCTTGAGCATGTTCTCCAGCTGTAGAGGAATTAACCTAGGATCAATACAGGAAAGGTCACTAGAAAATCCCCCGCCACCCAGGATTGGAGATCAAACAAAAGACACGTGTACATGACCTTCCAATCAAAGAAGATCCGCAAACTACTAGAAATATTTTGAAGTTAACAATGATGCAGGTACTCAAGCGGTGTTTAGAGGAAATTTTATAGTTCAAAATACTTATGTTAGAAAAGAAGGGAGGTTGAAAAATCGATTATCAAAGTTTCCACCTCAGGAAGCTCTAAAAAGAAGACTGCACAAAATCCAAGGAAGAAGGAAAGAAATTGCCCCGTTCAGAGCAGAGACCGCTAAACACGGCTGGAGGATAACAGAGCCAAAAATTGGGGTTTTGTACAGATGTTTAGTCAACTACTCAAGAAAATGAAAGAAGAAAACGTAAATTATGAATCTCAGAAATAAAAAAGATGAGGCAGCTACAGATCTCACAGACATTAAGAATAAGAAGACATCACAGATGGGTGCACGCCTGTCATCCAGCAGCTTATGAGCTGAGGCAGGAGGATCGTAAGTTCAAAGCCAGTCTCAGCATCTTAGTGAGGCCCTAAACAACTGATTGAGACCCGCCTCACAGTGAAATATAAAAAGGGGCTGAGGATGGGGCTCAGCGCCCCTGGGTTCAATCCTCAGAATGAAAGAAAACAAGAAGGGTTTACAGATCCCTTAAGCAGCTCAATTTACGAACATGGATAGAAGAAAAGAGCCGACTATTTGAGTAGCTTTATATCAGTTAAACAAGTTGAGCTTGTGATTAAAAAACCTCCCCAAGAAAGAGACTCTTGGCCTGGATGGCTTCACGGGGAGCTTTCCAAACATTAAAGAAGTGATATCCATCCGACCCACACTTTCAGGGATGGAGCCGGAGGGAGCATTTCCAGATGGAGTTTTCTAAATGAGGCCAACTTAACCCTGGTGTCCAATCCTTGCAGTGACACCATACAAAAGGGAAATGACAGACCATTATCTCTTAGGAACACAAATGTCAGGCTCCCAAACAATTATTAACCAATCACACCCAGCAACATATAATTG